GCATTATGTCTAGAATCGAAAAAGTAACATTTCTGAATCGTGAAAAGTAAAAGCATTGCTGGTGTACCTAACACTTTGTAGTTGTGTGAAAACTCTTGTTTTACAGATGTGGTTAAATGATCCCCTCTCTACGAGCTAATAGCCCTTACAGTTGGAATGACCATGAGAAAAGACTGCAGCCCCCTTTGATAGAGCTTGTGGTCCTGCCCTGTCCCAACGCAGTGTCGAGTGCCCTAGCATCATAGGCTTTGCTCCATGTTTCTGTGAATATTTGACTCATCCCTATGGGCGGCTTTGTTGGGGCCTATACCAACCTTGTTTAGTCCCACAGTGTTTTGTCCGGCCCACGGAGGCTAAGAAGGCGGCAGACGAGTCCAAGATGAGGTTTGCTCACATCGACGGAGATCACTTGACGCTGCTCAACGTCTACCACGCCTTCAAACAAAGTGAGCGTCACTCCCTTCTGAGACGTGCATTTTCAGATTGAAATAAGGATTTGTGTCTGAAAGAACTTACCTTATCAACAATTATGACATTGGCTCTATGAATATGCAAAAACGTTTTATTTGAGAAGTTGATCTTGAAAGCTATCTTGAGATGTCTCCATTCATTCTCCTATATACTGTTGAGGCTTTAAATGTCATCAAACTGGTTTAGGTACCAGTAGCCTGTGGTGATGTCACAAAACCAAACGTTGCAAAAGCAGCATTCAGTGAAAAGTTAAACATCCACTCGAAGTACAGATAAGCAGGTCAAGTTAACTTTGGAGAGTTCTGCAAAATGTGTCTTTCTGTCATGTTGTACTACTGTAACACTTTAATTTGGTCCAGCTAAGTCATGAGTTAAATGTTTCCTGGATTCATAGATGCTCCACTTTTTGTTACATCTTGTCTCTTACTTTGTCCACTTTTTATTGCTGGGCGGGTTGTAGGTTTGTAAGACCCTCTACACCAGGGGTGTCAAACTCAAGGCCCGGGGCCAAATCCGGCCCTTGACTTCATTTTCTGTGGCCCCACAAGAGCTTGCAAAGAATATAATATGTTTTTTATACGGTTACATGATGATTTACAGAAGCACGTTGCCCAGAAACTACATGTCCCACAATGCATCTCAAATTAGAAAACATTTTTCTCAGAATTTGCCTTTTTTTCTTCTAAATATGCCTTTTTTCTTAGAATGTGCCCTTTTCTCAGAATTTGACTTTTTTTTTTTTAAATGTCACTTCCTTTTTTTATGGTATTGGGATATATCTTTTTGAAATCCTCTGGAGCAGAGAGAGGAGCTGTGGATTATTGTTATTGATTAATGCATTCGTTTCTTAGGGTCAAAAACACTAAACTCACAACTTAAAATGAAAGTGTTTATTTAATAAAAGAGCACATGTTCCCCGTTGGCAGGGCGCAGGGCTCCGTTGGCGGGGCGCAGCGCCCCTCCAAGACAATGGTAGGGGAAACACTGAACATAATACATTATTTTATATATACACTGAACAAAAATATAAATGCAACACTTTTGTTTTTGCTCCCATTTTTCATGAGATGAACTCAAAGATCTAAAACATTTTCTATATACACAAAATAACCATTTCTCTCAAATATTGTTCACAAATCTGAAAAAATCTGTGATAGTGAGCACTTCTCCTTTGCCGAGATAATCCATCCCACCTCACAGGTGTGGCATATCAAGATGCTGATTAGACAGCATGATTATTGCACAGGTGTGCCTTAGGCTGGCCACAATAAAAGGCCACTCTGAAATGTTCAGTTTTATCACACAGCACAATGTCACAGATGTCGCAAGTTTTGAGGGAGCGTGCCATTGGCATGCTGACAGCAGGAATGTCCACCAGAGCTGTTGCCCGTGAATTGAATGTTCATTTCTCTACCATAAGCCGTCTCCAAAGGCGTTTCAGAGAATTTGGCAGTACATCCAACCGGCCTCACAACCGCAGACCACGTGTAACCACACCAGCCCAGGACCTCCACATCCAGCATGTTCTCCTCCAAGATCGTCTGAGACCAGCCACTCGGACAGCTGCTGCAACAATCGGTTTGCATAACCAAATAATTTCTGCACAAACTGTCAGAAACCGTCTCAGGGAAGCTCATCTGCATGCTCGTCGTCCTCATCGGGGTCTCGACCTGACTCCGGTTCGTCGTTGTGACCGACTTGAGTGGGCAAATGCTCACATTCGATGGCGTCTGGCACGTTGGAGAGGTGTTCTCTTCACGGATGAATCCCGGTTTTCACTGTTCAGGGCAGATGGCAGACAGCGTGTGGGTGAGCGGTTTTCTGATGTCAATGTTGTGAATCGAGTGGCCCATGGTGGTGGTGGGGTTATGGTATGGGCAGGCGTATGTTATGGACGACGAACACAGGTGCATTTTATTGATGGCATTGTGAATGCACAGAGATACTGAGGCCCATTGTTGTGCCATTCATCCACGACCATCACCTCATGTTGCAGCATGATAATGCACGTTCCCATGTTGCAAGGATCTGTACACAATTCCTGGAGACTGAAAACATCCCAGTTCTTGCATGGCCAGCATACTCACCGGACATGTCGCCCATTGAGCATGTTTGGGATGCTCTGGATCGGCGTATACGCCAGCGTGTTCCAGTTCCTGCCAATATCCAGCAACTTGGCACAGCCATTGAAGAGGAGTGGACCAACATTCCACAGGCCACAATCAACAACCTGATCAACTCTATGCGAAGGAGATGTGTCCTTTTATTGTGGCCAGCCTAAGGCAAACCTGTGCAATAATCATGCTGTCTAATCAGCATCTTGATATGCCACATCTGTGAGGTGGGATGGATTATCTCGGCAAAGGAGAAGTGCTCACTATCACAGATTTGTGAACAATATTTGAGAGAAATGGTTATTTTGTGTATATAGAAAATGTTTTAGATCTTTGAGTTCATCTCATGAAAAATGGGAGCAAAAACAAAAGTGTTGCATTTATATTTTTGTTCAGTGTATATATATATTTATATATAAGTTACAACCGGCCCTTTGAGTGCAGCCATAACGCTGATGTGGCCCGCGATTAAATTGAGTTTGACACCCCTGCTCTACACTGAAAGAACTGTTGATGAGAAGTTTTATGTTGTGTATCTTGCACCATTGACTGTAAATGTGGATGATAGTTCTCAGTGGCATATGTCATTTTAAGCGACGCCTTTTACATTACACACAACAATTTAATGAATTGTTAATAATACAACTATAAATATGATTATATATATTATGATTACTTAATCAAATGTCTGAATACTTGTCATTCTTTTTTTTCAGACCACGAGGCCAACCAGTGGTGCTATGATAACTTTGTCAACTACCGCTCACTGATGTCAGCTGACAACGTGCGCCAGCAGCTGTCCAGGATCATGGACCGCTTCAACCTGCCGCGCCGGAGCACAGAGTTCACCAGCAGAGATTATTACACCAACATCCGCAGGGCGCTCTGCACCGGCTTCTTCATGCAGGTGAACACCAATCAGGACATGTTTAAGTAGCTCTGTGATAGGATGCTGATCAAATGACATATTGCACAATGTTTTACAGGATATAACTGAAGAGTGTACCATAGATGTTTGTGGAATTCTTCTATACATTTGATTGAATCTGTTTTTTTTTATCCACCAGGTGGCTCATTTGGAGCGCACAGGTCATTACCTCACTGTCAAAGACAACCAAGTGGTCCAACTCCATCCCTCCACAGTCCTGGACCACAAGCCCGAGTGGGTGCTCTATAATGAATTTGTCCTGACTACCAAAAACTACATTCGCACTTGCTCAGACATCAAACCAGAGTGGTATGTGCAGTCATTTTTCTAGTAATACATATTCATAAAGACGAATTGTTATTATAGAATATGGTTCGCACATGATCTCCTGACAGATTTCCTTCTTTCTTCTGTTACAGGTTGGTGAAGATTGCCCCTCAGTACTATGAAATGGGTAACTTCCCCCAATGTGAAGCTAAAAGGCAGCTGGAGCGAATCATTGCCAAACTAGATAGCAAGGAGTATTCCCAGTACTGAGCGACAGCCAATAACTGTCCTGGAAAACAACTGCATCCTTTAGTTTTAGATTTTCTTGTGTCATTGTATCTTAATGTTGAAATTTGGCATTTTGATTTTTATATTTTGTTTTTTGTTTGTTTTTTCCATCGATGTTGTTTTTTTTTTTTTTTTCCATCAATGTTAATTCTGTAACTAAGTGTAATGTCAGATGAAATATCAGCAACAAATATTAGACCTGGCTATTAAGATTTTCAAAAGGAATATCAGAAACATGTCATTTAGATGTGGTTGACTTTCCTTAAGAGGATTGCCGAGTCATAAAAACAATTGTGCTTGCTTTGTTTCTTTAATAAAGAAGCTTTGACTTAATCTCTGCGTACATATTCATTAGTAAAGCCTTTCAAAAGTAGTGTGGTGCCTATCTTCTTGTGATAAGATACTGATTAAGTAGATAAACCCATCATTTGCTTGATTATAAATATATAAACAGGAGTTTAGGCTTGCTAAAGATAAACCAACACATTTCATTTATTTCAGTATGATTAATACCGTTTTTTCAGTGGTTACTTTATTAAAGTTCAACTACTGTTTTATGCATTACCTTACATGGAACTTATGATATACAGGTAAAATGGTGACAACTTTTTGTGGTTTGAGTGTTCAGGAATTCATTATGGCTACATTTTTTTTTATCACAACTGTAAATAAATTAAATATTTAAATCACCTTTTAACATTGATACCCATCCTGATGTCTGGGGCCCCAAAAGGATCCTATTAAAAACTTTGGGATTTAAGGATCTATAACAAGATATTATATTGACTTAATTATTTTCTTAACTGTCAATAGACCTTATTTTTGTTTTGCTCCTAACACAGAGCTTAATCTCCAGACGGTTTTCCTCACACCTCCCCAAGTTTCCTCACAACCAACCAAAATGTATCTGAAGATAATTATACTAATATATATCACTTTATTTCTACACTTTTCTCCAGTGACTTTTCAATACCACTGGTTTCAATGTCCTCGATCGTCTCTGGCAGGCACCGGTTTCGTGTCTCGGGCAGCGCTCTGGCCACTATCCCCCCAAGTACTGCCATAGAGAAAAGGACGACCTGAGGCAGCTCCTTCCACACCTCATCCAGTAAGAGAATCAAAGGAGCCACAGCTACACCCAGCCGAGCCATGAAGGAGTTGTAACCCATACCGTTCTGCCTGAAAAAACAGATAGGAGACCAACGTTAGGGCCCTAAATGCAGATTTCATTAAGGTAGAAAAAGTTGATTTATTCAATGTTCACTAGTGTTGATATAACTCTATGTACTGTATGTTACAAATCAAAAATGTGGAAGGACTGATAAGAAAACAAAAGCCATATTTACCTTATTACAGTGGGATAAAGCTCAGAACTGTAGAGCACAATCGTTCCAAAGGATGCAGCAGAACACCCTTTTCCCAGGACCGACACCACTGTCCTGACAACAGACATATCTGAAAGCAGAACATCAGCAACACGGATGGCTTTTTATTGTTGTAGCTGTTGGTAATTCAAAAAACGTTCTTTACATATTCAGGAATAATGATGTAGGAATGAGTTTAATCTCTTATATATACGGCAACATGCTGAAAAGGCAGAATAACCAAAACCTTAGATCAGGGGTGTCCAAACTACGGCCCGGGGGCCAAATGCGGCCCGCGGACTATTTTGAATCGGCCCTCAGCAAATTAAAAAAGTATAATGAAATATGGCCCACAAATGAAACTTGTCTTATATTGTACTTCTTAAATATAAATGTAAAAATATATTACACAGTATTCATGTATTAATAAGACCACTTTTCAAATAAAATTCAGTCAATTAGAGTTGGAAACATGTTCTAACATATCTTAGTTGATAAGAACAAAGCCCATAACAAGCTTGAAATACACCCTTCCTATTTCTCCTTATTATAATCAATCTGAGGTTTCTGTTTTAAGGGATGAGCTGCCAACACTCACAAGCATCATTTACCTACATTTCAATGATTTTGCTAACTTATAACTGAACTTATGAGGCACTCTAGTGAGTGGCCCAGCCCTTCATATCTTTTTCTGTATGTGGCCCTCGGTGAAAAAAGTTTGGATACCCCTGCCTTAGATGTATGCAGGTCAGTGGTCTTCAATGAATGCCGTACCTTTAGGTATTACAATGTTAATTCCAAGACAGGCAGCAGTCATCAGCAGAGCTCCCACTTCAGTGCGTCGCCTGCCGATCTTATCCAGTAAGTAGTAAACAGCAACTTTGGCTGGGAGCTCAATGCTAGCATAGGCAAACTGAGTGAGGTAGATGTTGAGCCCGAAGCCTGTGAGGTTGAAGCTGATACCATAAAATGCAGTTGCCACGCAAAACCTAAGGAAAGAAAAGTGAGACTCATTTAATCAAATTGATAGTTTGTGTTGAATTATTTACCTTGTGTCTTTCATAAGGTATAACTGACTTTTCTGACACAAAGACATAATGTATTTTAAGAACTAAAATCGTTGAGCACAATGGTATTGGGAATACAGACCAAACTACACCAGTACGTAGAGCCAGTTTCCTTATGTTTGGTGTTCGTATCAGATCGAGGTAGGAATAGGTCCGATCTCTTTTCTCAGTCACAACAATGGTTGCTAGTGTCTGAAAGAATGCAAAGCAGCATTATTACCTCTGCAAAGTCAAAAATGACATTGAAAAATGACAGGGCCAAGACTGCAATCTAAGATCTTGTTATTTTTCTTAATTTAACCATCACAAGGAATATCATAACCTCTGTGTTCAGTATCTGAATTGAATCCTCGGTTCGGTTCATCTTGGCACATTTTTTCAAAAACATCTGAGCTTCCTTCAGCTTTCCGTTGGCAATGAGCCACCTTGCAGACTCTGGCATCCACCTAAGACAAAGATGATTTATATGAATCCTTTTGTTTTACATGGCAATGAATTGTATTGCATGTTTACATAAAAAAACTAAGATGATGAAAGAAATGTATCTAATCAAGTATATTATCTATAGTCCCAGTTGGGTACAGGCGCAGCACAAATGTACTGTGTACCGGCAAAAGACACAAAAAACGAAATATCCAATTAAATTTGACTTCATTTTTTAAACCCCCAATGTTTATCTTTAAACAATCCAAATGTTAAGTAACCCAAACACTACACCTCCCGGGCTTTCTGTAGGGACTTTATATTATACAAAAGCTGAGTTTCTGAGTCTTACCTCCAGGTGATGATGGCCAAGATTAGAGGTGAGGTTACACTCAGAATTAGCCACCGCCAATCATTCACAAAGTAAGCAATAGCTGCAAATACTGTGTTCCCAAATGTCCAGGATAAGCTATCAATCACCCCAACCAGTTTCCTGTGCTTGATGTCCACCCACTCCACACCTGCAAACATGAAATCAGGTTTTTACTTCTGCATTTGGTGGCCTAAACTTCTGAGGTGAGCTCAACATGAGACAGAATGTAACAACAGAAGTGAAAACATGTTATTACTCAGGACTGTTGAGACAATGACGATGCCGGTGATGCAAAACCCAGTGAAGAACCTCAGCACTGCAAACATCAAGTAGGACGTAGAAAAAGCACTTGCAATAGCAAAGAGCATTCCAGACACATAGGACACCAACAGCATGATCCTTCGGCCAAATCTACGGAAAGGCAAAAAGTCTCCAATATTTAATTGAAGAAGAATTTTGTTTTCACACCTGGTAATTAGTTTAAAGCTGAATACTAAGCAGCCCAGCCGGATACCTGTCACTCAGACTTCCAAAGGTCACAGCTCCAAACATCACTCCAACAAAAAAGATTGTAGCAGTTGCTTTGTTCTTCCCTCTTTTATCACAAACCAGGTCCCACTGGAATACAAATATAGAAAGAAACCGGTTCATTCTGGTGTTTGAGGACTTGAGCTTCTCAAAAGGTTCATGGTGTTAAAAAATACATCAGATTTTGTTTGATCTTCTACAACTAACAAGAAATGAAGTTCACCTGAGAGGTCAAAGTTGACTTGAAGGTGGTATTATCGTACACCCATCCATTCTGACACGGCACTGTTGGTACTTCAATTATGTTGGAGGAGTTCAGCAGCAGATGATACTGCGGCTCTGCAAACATCTGACAGGATGCAGGAGTCCCATCCTCCTGGACTGGAATACTTACAATAAGCCTCTCTTTCTCAGATAAACTACTAAAAAATCCTTCGTCATCTAGAGAGCTGATGTCACAGTGGTGAGAGGGAACAGCCGCTACAAAGTTGTTAAGCATGAAGTGGCAGGGCAATGTGAAGCGGCCGATGAAGCTGATCACAATTATCATTATCTGAAATCTTCCAAATCCATCAATGTCAGCCAGAATGTTCTCGAACTTCATTGTGGCTTCTACCTGTGTGCAAAATGCTTTAAAACTAAGAGAAAACTAATCCTCATACACTCATGGCTTCAGACTGAAAAAGACTAAGACAAGACTACCTTTGGCTTTCTCTAACCCAGGGATTTCTGGATTTCAGTTGAAAATTGTAAATATTTGACCTCACTTAACCACTAAATAACTTTTGTCTGCGTTAGTGCAAAACAAAGAATGTATGTGTTAATAGTTAAAGCATGAGTCATCAATTTATAAACATCTATAAGAAGTACCGTATAATTTCTTTGATGCATTACAACACAAAAGCAGATAGGAATCAGGGGTAGTTTTTTAATAGCGTGTTTTAAAAATGCATACAGAATTTGTCTTATGTAAGACATACTTACATAAGTAAGTACGTTTCTTTATTTAAAATCGATAATCTTCCAATATCTAATAAAAAATGAATTAACAGAAGAAGTCTCTTCAGATGTCCGGACTGATCGCCCTGTGAAATACAAACAAATATAATTTTCATACATTCATGTTATGACAGTTCAAAACTCAAAATTCTATTACAAAAGACTGTACCTTGTCTGTTCCACATCTTCAATGGTTTCTGGTAAACGGCTATTGTGTGTCTCTGAAAGTAAACAAGCTGACAGCCCTGCAGCAAAGGCCACCAAGGAGAAGACAATACCAGGTAGAGGGAGCCACAGTTCTTCAAGAACCATGATCAGAGGGGACACAGACACACCTGTGAGGGCCATGAAGGAGCTGTAACCCAATCCGCTTTGCCTATGTAACAAAACAAAATAAAGGAAAGTTATTGGCTTATTTGTGTAACTTCCTCAGATTAGGGAGACTGGGGGCACACTTTTGAAGTCAGTCCAGGGAGGGGAACTTAATTGTTAGTACTTGGTGGTTTGGTAAAGTGCATTTAAGTGAATGCAAACCTTTGGCAAAGTTGAGCATGATCCCCTACATATTTAAATCTTCACAGACAGAATGATGTCCAGTACGGTCATCTCTTTTTTCAGATCATGTAGTTCTGCTACCTTCTTTAGACTTCATCTTCTAGTGTGATGGATATTGGTTGCGTTGTACAACACAAGATGGATTGTTTTCAGTTGGGAGCTAGTCAAAATCCCAAATGAGGGAGTTCAAGTATACTGGGGCGTCGATCACAAGAGAAAGATGGAGTGGTTGATCAATTGGTAGTTTGGGTGATTTAGGGTGAAGCTCTCGATGTACCAGTCCGTTTTAGTTTTAAGAGTCATCCATAATCGGGACTCTTGGTAGTGACTAGAAGAATCAGATCTCAGATGAAAGTATTTGAAATATGTTCCCCTCACAAGGTGACTGGATGTTCCCTTAGAAAGGATGAGGAGCTCTGTCTTGAAAGAGAATGCCTCATGTGTGATAGAAACTTCTGGAGCAAAGTAGACCAAACACAGAGAGACCTGAGGAGAGCTGGAACTTTGATGGCAAACACTGATGGTTTATTATGAAGTTAACGGCCGGAGAACTGACAATCCAATTCTGAAGATCTCTACCCCAGACCCATGTATTTAGCTGGTTCGGAGAGAATAATTAACATTGTGCATATCACAGAGCAAAGCACCCACGGTTGCAGGCCTGTGCTCAGAGAAGGCAGTACAAACTGATAAACTGGGTCAAAGTTATGGGCCTAGAAAAATAGTTCCCCAACATCATGAAGACCTCTCTGTGGAGGTATTTTAGGCAGGTCAGTGCAACAGATTTGGACCATGCGTGAGGGTTTTCATATCCCAGCAGGCACCTTACAATCCCCAAGAAGAAACTTTAGGATTTGGCTATGGAGAAGGACATCTTGGCTTTGATGTTAGTCTGTTGCTACCATATCTTGCATGATCAACAGAAAATATTTGCATGAGATATTTCACTGACCTTATTACTGTAGGGTAAAGCTCTGATGTGTACAGAAACACCATTGTAAAAGCTCCCTCTGCAAACATCTTTCCCAAAGTTCCCACAGTTGTCCGAAAGATAGTCATTTCTGAAAAAATTAAATGATAACCCTAGCTTGTATAAACCATGGTACAATTCATTATGTTTTACAATAATTGTTCTATTGGAATAAGGCTTTTTTTACAGTCATATTTGAACAGTTTAATTACTGAAGGTTACAAAAAATACGACCAAGAAATGATTAATTTCTGTTGTTGTCGGTAAGCTGCTATAGCAGTAGCTCGAGAACCGGAATCTTTCAAAAGAATACAAAAATAAATTGATAATTTACCTTGAGGAATAAAAATGTTGCAGAATATACACAATCCAGTCAGGACAAGTGTGCCAGCCTGATTCATCCTTCGGCCTATTTTATTCAACGTGAAATAGATGAAGATTTTTGCTGGAATTTCAATCACGCCGTAGATGAACTGTGTGACAAAAATATTCACACCAAACCCAGCAACATTTAAGCTGATTCCATAATATGTACAAGACACGCCAAACCTATGTGGAAAAGAAGACAAAATGAATTCAATGTAAACAATGTACAACAAAAATATGACACAATGAAATGTTTTTGCTCTATGAAACCTGATGTACTTATATGATTCTGTTTTCTTCATGTTTGTATTTTGTTGGTCGAACGCACTTATTGTAAGTCGCTTTGGATAAAAGCGTCAGCTAAATGTAATGTAATGTAACAATGGCTGAACAGAAAACCATAATTGCTGTTTTTAAGCAGGTGTCTTCTACAATAGTACAACAGGACACATACAGATAAACGTAGTCAATTTATCCACACTATCAGTGTACAAGGTATATGCAGGTATCCATAGCAAAAGTACTTGTGCGTTGTGATAAATCTTATCAGTCAAATCAATAAAACACAGGACGAGTTTTGCAAACAAGGCAGAAATGAACAATGTGCTGAGCTAGTTATTTCCTACAACTCAGTTTATTATGCTGATAGTACAGCCATATACAGTATGATAGCTAAATGCTTCCAATGTTTAAAGCTATAAAACAAATATACCACAAGATGCCAGAAAGAAGAGTCAGTCTCCTCATTTGGGGCGTCTTTATGAGGTCCAAATACGAATATTTTCTGGTTTCTATATTTAATACAGTAGTCTCGGACAGAACCTGAAGTGTAAAAAGAAACCATTTGTCAGCTACATAGAATACCAATGGCTGAAAAATGTAAACCATATGTATGATATACCCCAGGCTTCAGGTCAGCCATGAACTGCTCTCTGCCATTGATTTTTGCACATTTGTTCAGGTAAAAATGAGCACTTTTCAGCTTTCTATTACTTATCAGCCATCTGGCAGACTCAGGGACCCACCTGTGGAAAAACATGATTCAATTAAAGACACAAGATAAAATATATGAACGTTCATTTTGACAGGGAGTTGGTTGTTCCATGTGGTACTTTATCCTTACCACCATGTGATCATTGTTAGAATTAGCGGGGAGGTTGCTGTGGCAGTGAGGACCCTCCAGTCATTCACAAAATAGGCCACAACAGGAAGCAGAGCCGTAAAAATACTCCAGTCCAGGCTCATTAAAATGCCAACTGCAGTTCGATGCTTGATGTCCACCCATTCAATACCTGTGATAGAAAATGACCAATCAAATCAAATCTAAGAGAATATTATCATGTAGGATATAAGTAATGTGAGGTATGTTTGTTTACACTTTACTCAGGTCTTATTATTTTATGATTGATTTTAACTTTAATATTGGGATTGACATTCAGACCTGCCTTTTAACAACAAATGATGTCAATGTATCTATGTTGGCTTATTCATCACAGTTTAAAAGTAAATACAGCTGAATGAACAATGTTTGATAATGTTGTGCTATGTTCGATGTTGTGCTAAATGTCTGTTTGACTGTTACGAATTACCACAAGCTTTATATATAAATTCATTCATTTGATGTGAATAGACAAACAAATATACAATAAGATAAAAAACTTTCAAAGGACAATGGCGATTATGTTGACTCCAGAAATTCCAAATCCAGTGAGAAACCTCATGACAGCAAACAAGGTGAAATTGTATGAAAAAGCACTAGCAAATCCAAAGACGGTGGTTAACATGTAGGAGATCAGAAGCGTTCTCTTCCTGCCAAACCTGTGAGACAGATGTATTATAGATTAACACCCTGGTTTGTTAGGAAAACAAAAATCTTCCGTATCATTGGTTTTGAAGCAGGTCATATTAACAGTGACACTCTTGGGAAAAAGCAAGCTTTCATCCTCCAGTAGTCAATTATTAACTTCACTTCTATCTGAAGTTTAACTATCTGACCAAGAAGAAGTCACAGATTTCCTTACTTGTGTTATAATATATCAATGTTTGACATTTTCCCAAGTTACAACGGTTTTCATCTGTTATAATTTGTCTCTTACCTCTCCTTTTACCACCCTTGTGCAAAGTCCACATGTCAAACAGGAAGTCAGCTCAGTCAAATTGAGAGATTGCAGCATAGGACAGGTCTCAAATCAGTTAAGGGAGGAGGTGCAGGGAGGGATAATGCGTTGTTGACCCTAGGCAGCTAGGCCAATTGTCTTTCCTCCTTTTCTTTTTCTTTTCCCTTTCTTTATCGGAATTAAACAGCTTGTTGTCATAAAGTGCCAAACAAATAGAACAAGCAAGCCAACAAAACTAGTTCTCGGCAAAGTATGCATAGTAGGCCTACATGTGTGTATGTTGGGAGGGGGAGGGGGATTTGGGGTAAGGTGACCAGATTTTCTAAATTAAAACCGGGGACATTTTGAGTTTTGCGGTCAAAATCTTATTAACATATCCAATTTTCTTCACTGTTAAAGAAAAAAGGGGGACAATTCTGGTTCATTGTAATTCGAACATTTGAACTGTTGGATACACACAGAAGAACGATAGCTCAATATATGAGACTTCAAAGGTATTTTATTTTGAAACTGTACATCAGATTGTCCAGATTATCTATGAGAGACTAGATGGGGTGTCCTGCTATCACCCTGAAGTGAAATAAGTCTTTGATACTGGATAGTTTTTGTTTTATTCTTATCTAAAAATAGAGGGATGATAGTTTATATATGAGACTACGAAGGTCTTTTATTTTGAAACTCTACATCAGATTGTCCTGATTCTCTCTGAGTGACTAGATGGGGTGTCCTGCTATCTCCCTGGAGTGAAATAAGTCTTTGATAATTTGATAATTTTTTATTTATTCTTGTATAAAAACAGAAGGACGATAGCCCATATGAGATTTCAAAAGTATTTTATTGTTAAACTCTATCAGATTGTCCTGATTTTCTCTGATTGACTAGATGGGGTCTCCTGCTATCACCCTGAAGTGAAATAAGTATTTGATTGACTTTGAATGACTCTATGATTATGGACAGTTTCCATTAAATAATAATCAAAATATAGATGGACAATAGATGTAATTTGAGATTTTAAACAGCATACATTTTAAATTGTGCTTCAGAAAGTAATGTTATTTTAGGAGTGTTGTGAGATGGTGTCAACATCAATTGAGTCACCCAGTGGAAATGTCAGATATGTCTTCATAACTGTATCCTTACATTTTACATTCACTCAGTTATAATGTGGTAGTTATACGTAGTTTGTTTTAAATAATATTGATCACATTATATAGTACATATTTCTTAATTTAAGCTCCAGTATATATGAATATGTTTGGTGTGTTTTTTATTGACCGAGTACACGCTTTTATTTTGAAGGCAGTTTTTATAGGCCTCTACCGTAATGCGATATTCGCGCACCGTAATACAACGTGCGGGCTGGCCTGACTGTATTTTCCGAAGTGGGGGCTGGCTTGACCACAGTCTGTAGTGTTTACCTAGTGTTTCCTGACATGAAACGTTTTATTTCACGTTGCTATGTGTTTTTAACGTATATTAAAAAACGGGGACATTTCCGGGGACAGTTTCAACCGGGGACAGGGTAATACAAATGGGGACTGTCCCCGGAAAACGGGGACGTCTGGTCACCCTAATTTGGGGTGTCGTGTGGTGGCTTGCTCACAGGGTGCGAATGTTTGTTACAAATCACGGTAAAGCAAGATTAGAAAATAAACACATTTATGATGGAAACAATTGTGAGCTGTGTGAAATGTAATGAATAAAGTTAATAGTAGTAATGGGTTACTGTTTGTGGATTTTCACATATATATATATATGCTATTTAGCATGACACAAGAGTTCCAGTCTCTTTGAAGAACACATTTTAATTGCAAAACATATAATCAATACAAAAATGACACAACTCTTCCTTAATGAACAGTAAACACATTAATTCTGGAATTTCATATTTGTTTTTAAAAAATATACCTATTTGGCGTTTTATACCTTCATTTGATGATATAGACTAGAGTGATTACACAAAGGACTATCAAAAATGATAAAGTGACCTTAATATTGTTCACACACATACAACATAATCAAATTCTTTATCAATGAAATGTTTGTTTACTAATGATACATACACTACTTATTGTTGGGGAAATATTTTCCTAGGCCCACACCTTTGACCCTGTTTATCAGTTTGTACTGCCCTCACTGCACAGGCCTGCAACCTTAGGTTCGGTGCTCTCAGTGTGTTGTCTCCTTATTCCTGCCTGTTGGCGTCAGCTGACAGAGGTGTTATAGTGCTTTGCCTGTTTTATCTTGTTATGCACAAAGTTGATTATTCTCTCAGAACCAGCTAAATATATGGGTCTGAGGTGGAGATCTTCAGAATTGGTTTGGCTACTGCTGTGTCACCTCGTGGCTGCAGCACATAATCTTGTCAGTTCTCTGGACGTTAACTTCATAATAAACCTTCAGTGTTTGCCATCAAAGCTCCAGCTCTCCCTGTGTCTCTGAGAGTTTCGTCTCCATTAATCCAGAAGTTTCCATCACACTTATTAGTTTTTCAGGTATGAAAAAACGAGTATAGCGTTTAGCAAAAAATTTATGAATTGTGCATATCATATAAAACAGTGAATGCTATTTTGGAAAGATGGATGAATTTGTGGGAACAATGGAAACCACCTGGTAGTTGAAAACTCTAACCCTTCATATCCGTTCTCACAGACTGTCTGACTATTGCACATGCAGACAAACATGTCCTGCCACGCCTTGCCTCTGAGAATCTGGCTTGTTTAATTTATATTATCCTGTGTGGGACTCTTAAACACAGCACATTTATTAAAATATTATTTTTAAGAAAGATATATAGGTTGCGATTATTTAAAAAAAACACTTGTTTGTTTATTCTTTTATGAATCAAAAACATACTACCAACACTTATATGCCCGGCAACTCTAATAATTGGCCTTTGTTTGCACTTGTTCAGGGTTATGATTTTTCATCAGATGCGGAGATTGATCTTCTTCTGAAATACAAGATACATGTTTGGGTTGAAATAAAACTTTTGTTTAAATGTTTAGATTAAATCCAAATGAAGGCCCATTACCTTGGGTGTTCCACCTCTTCAATGGTCTCTGGTAAACGGATGTTTTGTGTCTCAGGAAGAAGATAACATGTCAGCCCTGCAGTGAACGCCACCAGAGAGAATATGGTACTCGGTAAATGGCCCCACACTTCTTCAAGGAGGATGATGAGGGGAGAAACAGACACGCCTATACGGCCCATGAAGGAGCTGTACCCCAATCCATTTTGCCTGTATAAGCAAAAATACAGGTTCAGTATCCAGATGTCTGTTACTTACTAGTTTTTCTACTTTTGAGTTTAGATGCTGTTGTAAATGTGCATAGTATAAGCTCTATATAAGATTTATTCACCTCATTACTGTGGGGTAAAGCTCTGTTGTGTACAGATATACACATGTGAAAGATGCCTCTGCAAACATCTTGCCCAAAGCTCCCACAGCTGTCCGAACGAGCCCCATATCTGAAAAATAAAATAGTCATAGAACATTTTGACCCCACCTGTTATTGTATTTAATGTGTAGTATTTGACTAAATATGAACCATAGTGGCAATTTTTACTATCAGCTTATCAGAAATCAAGTAGTTAGTTAGTCTTTACCATCATCCTACCAACATAAACCATAAATAAGAAGAACCATACTAAAACCAGCCTAGTACAATCTTGACTTGTTTTTCTTTCTTAAAACTATATTAGATAGGTAATCAGTCTGCTCTGATATATTTGTATTTGTATCTCTATATCTATCACATTATGAAATAACAGAAGTCCTGAAGCTCATTTAAAGGCACAGTTTCTGATTATGGGTATGTGAGCATATATCTGTTGATTGAGAATTTCAATACTTTCAGAACATTTATATAGGCCTTAGATCTGCTTCAAATAATTGCAAATAATTGTTAATCTCTCTTTTTACTATATAGGATCTTTAAAGTGTAGCTTTGTTGTTGTCTATTATTGTTGAAGTAGCTATGGTAGTCACACTGTTGATAATTTACCTTGAGGGACAAACATGTTGCAAAATATACACAGTCCAGTCAGAACAAGCGCTCCACCCTGACTCGACCTTCGGCCTACTTTGTTCATAGCAAAATAGATTAATGCTTTGGCTGGAAGTTCAATCAAGCCGTAGATCAACTGTGTGATATAGATGTTCAAACCAAATCCAGAGACATTGAAAATGATCCCGTAATACGGGCAGGCCACTCCAAACCTGTCAACAGAGAGCAAATTATGTCAAAATACAATTTGAGTTACACATTTGCCATAGAAAAAAACATATTTATATAGTGCTTTGTTTTACATAACCACTGGCACTACAAGTCATACGATTAGATATTCTTTATTGTCCCAGTAGGGACATTTGTTAAAGTCTCCGTTGTGCAGTTCCACAAAAGATGAAAATCATATATACTGCACAAAAAAACCATCAGATGCTTCCATATATACACAGTTTGCCCATACACATACACCTACTGACAATGGTGACTTATTGCACAACCCTCAAGGCCAACATTTAAATCCACATTACACTTCAGATAGGTGTTGCAGCTAAATGGAAACCTGCATCTTCTACTAGAAGCTAATTGCTGAAACTGTGTGGAGAATCTGGTCTGGATCAGACACTTTTATTTGTGCCTCTCTAATAATGGACTGTTCATAGATTGTTTGGGGAGCTGAATGTTTTTTAAACCCCTTAAGTGTTATAGCAGTCTGTACTGCAATAATGAAGCTAAAACATGTACAAGACAAGTACACCAAAGAGGCTGCAGAAATTGAGAGGCCCAGACAGAAAAATGATATTGCAAGTCGAGAATTTGCAAACGAGTAATAGTGCCTTGCTAGAGGATCTCAAACAGAAATAAAGCTATTAGGGAGTTTGCAGGTCAATGATGTAGGCAGGAACCAGACCATTGAAGGCGTCATAAACAAGCTGTAAAATCTTTAAATCAACTATAAAACTAACAGGAAACCGGTGATGGGCAGCAAAGCATCAGTTTGATGTGAACACTTCTCTAAGGAAGGGGTTAAAAGCCTGGAAATGTTTTGTATCAACTGCAATCTTTGAATGTTTCGCCTCGCTGGCTTTACAGTCAATATCACTTCCAGGGCTAGTTAGCAAGGTCATTCCAGATATCCCTGCAACACAATACATGGGTGTCTTTGACATAACAGGGACTCTGCTTCATATTCTGTTGAAAATGTTTGCTCATTTAAAAAAAATGTAAATGTCATTCTGGGCAATATCTTACACACTGCACATTTTAAAGGCAAAAACAAAGACATTTATGTACCAGACAATGGCAGTGAGTATAGCCAGTCTCCTCATTCTTGGGGTCCTCACAAGGTCCACATAGGAATATTTTCTGTTTTCATTTTCCACAAGTATTACCTTCGACAGACTCTGCAGAGAAAAAATTACATCTTGGTCAGCATTGTAGTTGTAGAGTGAATATATTTCTGATTAGAAGTTATCAGATCATGTAAAATCTTGTACCTCAGGCTTTAAGTCAGCCATGAACTGCTCTCTGCCGTTCACTTTTGCACACTTTTTCAAGTAAAAATGAGCAGCTTTTACCTTTCCATTACTTATCAGCCATCTGGCAGACTCAGGGAGCCACCTGCATTAAAATGTTAATTGAAAAAATCACAGATTTAAAAATTATTTTCAGACAAACTGCGTATGAGTAACATGCCTCTCTCATCAAAACATAGCAGCCATGCTGGTATTCAGATGCTCAAAATGCTGAAAATGATCTTAACATTTTTATATGGTTCTGACCTAACTTCCTGGTATTAGAGCAGCTTTGTCTTGGAGACATTAAAAGGCAATACATGTGCTTGTTTTCGCTGATGGTTAAATTATTGTGTTATCCTTACCACCAAGAAATTATTGCCAGAATCAGCGGGGAGGTTGCTGTGGCAGTGAGGACCCTCCAGTCATTCACAAAATAGGCCACAACAGGAAGCAGAGCTGTAAAAATACTCCAGTCCAGACTCATTAAGACGCCAACTTTAGTTCGATGCTTGATGTCCACCCATTCAATACCTATCAAAAGCAATGATAATACATCAAATCAATCAAATACATAGACTCAATAACATTAAATCAACATACATTTATTCTTATTTTTATTTTTGTTTTCTGAAATGTACAATTCAGACATTTTATTTCACAGATACTATGAGATTAAACTCACAAAGGACGATGCTGGCTATACTTATTCCGGAAATTCCAAATCCTGTCAGGAACCTCATGACAGCAAACATGGTGAAATTATATGAGAAAGCACTTGTAAATCCAAAGAGACTCGTTGTCACATAAGACACCAGAAGAGAGTTTTTCCTGCCAAACCTGTGGAACAAAATGATTATGAATAAATCTGTAGAATTGCTAAAAACACACAAATATTTGTTTACACAATGACCTAACAACAGACAAACATTCCTTCTTCCTCGTCTCTGGTAATGTGTGGGTGAGGGTTAATATTATGGTTGGCGTTAAGGTTTAGATTAGGTCAGGAGTTGAATGGCATGTCATTAAACCTCTCTATATGAACGTTTAATTAGCCACTATTGAGTATTAACCTTGGACTTTCGGAGTAAGTACAAGTTAAGCTTCTTTTCTTGGTTCTTATGCATAATTGATACCTCAACTTTTTGACACACCTCTTGACTACATACAGTTATTGTACAGACATTGGGCGGGACATCTCTAAGAGGTTGACCAATCACAAAAGAGCCGGACAGCTAACCAATCTGAGCAGACTGGGCTCTGGTTTCAGACAGAGGGTGAAAAGAGGTGTTGCAACACAGGCAGTATGAGAAAATTAAAGACCTTTTTGAACATTAAAGCATGTAAACAAGTCACAATTCAGGCACAAATACAAATATGAACCTAGAAATCAGCATAATAGGGCCCCTTTAAATGTATAAGTCATCAATTTATACATTTTCTCTAATCAAGTAGTGTAATTTAACCACAGATACTGTTTCTGAATTGAGAGTTATAAAGCCATAACCACCTGTCACTAATATAGCCAAACGCTGCTGATCCAAACATGACCCCCAAGAAGAAGATAGTGGCTGTGGCTCTGTTCATTTTTCTTTTATCACAAACCAGATCCCACTATGAGGGAAACAGACAACAAAGTGAATATCAAAGTGTATATCAATTATTTATATTATTTTAAAACAGAAAAAACGATTCACCTCAGTGGCCAGAGAAGACCTGAAAGTATCATATACCCATCCATTCTGGCACGGCACTGTTGGTAGTTCAGTCATGCTGGAGGAGTTCAGCAGCAGATGATACTGAGGCTCTGCAAACATCTGACAGGAGTTTGGAGTCCCATCCTCCTGGACTGGAATACCAACAATAAGCCTCTCTTCCTGGGATAAATTCCCAAAATATCCTCCATCATCCAGAGAGCTGATGTTGCAGTGGTGAGAGGGAATAATTGCGACAAAATTATTCAGCAAAAAGTGAAAAGGCAAAGTCATACGAGGTATTACAGTCATGAAGATTATCATTAGTTGGAATCTCCCAAAGCCGTCCACCTCTGCCAGAACATTCTCAAACTTCATCTTGAGAATAAACGCTACAACACTTCAATTTGGAAAGAAGCTCAGAGAATAATATGTTTGGAATTGAGGCACAAGCCTTTTGAACACTGTATATTGCTGTTAGTTAATGGTCAGCTCAGTGAAAGTTTGTCTGACAAGTAACATATTTTTGCAAATTAATCATCTGCAATATTTCGAAAGTACATGCGTGTTGTCAAGTGAGCGCAAATAAATTGGAATCTCCTTCCTGCCTATTCAGTCTGGTGCTAATCCGGAGCAATCAGGGTAAATAACGCATGTGGGCGATGAAAAACTATACCAAAACATCGCCACCAGCTTAAATAATTATCAAATAATCTTATAACAGAATTGGGAACATGGCCCATTAAAGCTGGTCCAGCACCATGTGTTCAGGGGTAACTCCATCGAACAATGTTGATTTATTGTTCCCTTTAATCAGGCAGCCTCATTAAGATAATAAGGATGTTTTTCCAAGAGAGACCAGAGAAGTAAGGCAAGGCAAGGCAAGTTTATTTATATAACACTTTTCAACACAAGGCAATTCAAAGTGCTTTACAAAAAATGAAAGACATTAAGAAAATGGCATTTAAAATCAGTCATTAAAAAGAAAAGCTAATAAAATAAACATTAAAAGAAAAAATACATGGATAAAAGTTACAGTGCAGTCTAAGATATGAATAGTTCAATTAAAAGCAGCGACAAAAAGAAAAGTCTTCAGCCTGGATTTAAAAGTAGTCAGAGTTGCAGCGGACCTGCAGAAACATTCACAAGAAAGAAAACTATTGTTTGTTCCCAACCGGCTTGAGGCTTTGATTTAGGCATTCTGGACTTCACTATGTTGTGTTTTTGGCACAATGTTTCATTTAGTAAGTAAGTAAGTAAAGTATATTTATAAAGCGCTTTTCACAGACAAAGTCACAAAGTGCTTGACAAAACAATAAGACATCCATATAGGAGGCGTACAATGATCAATGAACCCACATGTTAAGAAGTCATAAAAGCACCAGAGCATAATTTAAGACACAATAAAAACACAATAAAACAAAACTTACAAATTACATTTAAAATAAATAAAAATAAAAACATAGTATTAAATGGAATAAAATCAGGCACACCGGTTACCCAAACGCCTGACCAAACAGGAATGTCTTTAAAATAGTTTTAAAAGAGTCAACAGACTCCGCAGACCGTAGATGAGCAGGCAGAGCATTATATAATTTAGGAGCCACTGCTGCGAACGCTCGATCACCGCGGGTCTTAAGGTGGGTACGTGGGACAGACAGTACATTTTGCCTGTGAGACCTGAGTGGGCGGGCTGATGTATAAGGGTGAATTAAGTCGGCCACATAAGCAGGAGTCTGACCGTGCAAAGCTCTGTAGGTGAGAGTGAGGATTTTGAACTTAATCCTATAAGCTACAGGGAGCCAGTGAAGGGATCTGAGTATCGGGGTAATGTGGGACCATTTGTTTGACCGGGAGAGAAGTCTTGCAGCTGCATTCTGGACTGACTGCAGACGACCAAGGGTAGACAAGCTGAGAGAGGACAACAACGCGTTGCAGTAATCAATGCGAGATGAAATAAATGCATGGATAATCATTTCTAGGTCGGGTGTTGAAACAACAGATCTCAGTTTGCTAATATTTCGTAGGTGGAAGAAACATGATCTCGTCAGTTGCTTAACATGGGTATCAAACGATGCGGATTGGTCAAATATTACCCCTAAGTTGCGTAGTTTGGAGTTGGCAGCAGAGGAATAAGGTCCAAGACTTTTCAGAATCAAGGGCGTAATAATTTCTGGTGCAACAACCAGAACCTCCTTCTTATCAGCATTGAGTTGTAAGAAGTTATCTGCCGTCCAGTCCTTAATGGCGCTAAGACATTCTAAGAGTCTTGATATCCTAAAAGCCTCACTAGGTTTGAATGAAATGTGGAGCTGGATATCGTCCGCGTATAAGTGATATGTAATGTTAAAACTATTTATGATCTGCCCTAAGGGTAGCAAATATAGGGAGATTAACAGAGGCCCCAAGACCGAGCCCTGCGGGACACCACAGGACAGTGGAGAGGAGTCTGACACAAAGTCTCCAATCGAGACGGTGAAACTTCTATCAGCAAGATATGATGCAAACCAGTCTAATGCTATGCCAGATATGCCCACCCAGTCACGTAACCTCTTGATCAGGATATGGTGGTCAAACGCCGAACTTAGGTCAAGAAGTACTAACACAGGACAATCACCCACATCAGAAGCCATCAGGATGTCGTTAGAAACCCTCAGGATAGCCGTTTCAGTGGAGTGCTTTTTCCGAAAACCTGACTGGAACTTATCGTAAATATTGTGCCTCTCCAGTGCAGCAGTGAGTTGGTTGGCCACGACCTTCTCCAGAACTTTTGAGAGAAAGGGTAGTTTAGATATAGGCCTGTAGTTCACGGGCAAGGCTGGATCTAAGTTAGTTTTCTTTAATATGGGCTGAATAGTGGCATGCTTAAAATAGGAAGAGACACATCCTGTAGACAAGGAAGTATTAATAATAGTTGATACAGCACGGCAAATGGTTGGTAACATTTTTAAAAATAGGGAAGTCTGTATTACATCCAGGGGGCACGAAGATGGCTTCATTTTCCTAATTAAATCCATCAGGTCTTGTGAGTTGATAGGTTCAAAGGAGCCAAGCATAGAATGAGATGGAGAGGGGCTAGAGTTGGGCAGTGAAATCCCAGGAGTAATACTGGACCTAATAGATGCTACCTTATCTACAAAGAAGATAAGGAACTTGTTACAGTCATTATTCGAAAGACATGGTAATGTAATTAGTGGCGGTGAAACAATGTTATTAATTGTGTCAAATAGGATCTTGGGATTTTTCTTTGAATAAGTTATTAACTTAGCAAAGTAAGCAGTCCGGGCTTCTTTTACTAATGCATTAAAAGACAATCTTAGATCTTTGAGATAAAGGCGATGCACTTCCAGCCCAGTGGTTTTCCATAGTCGTTCTGTCCTGCGACACTTACGCCTCAGGCAGCAGACAGCGTCCGTTATCCATGGAGAAGTATTGCAGATAGCTCTAGTCCTATCCTTTAGTGGTGCCACTATGTCCAGCAATGTGGAGCAATGCTGATTAAAAGACTGTATTAAAAGCTCTACATCGATCATTTTAGTGTTATTATCACAGCAAAAGTGAGCCGCGAACTGATCAGCTGTACTCTGTGTAATAATGCGTGAACGACGTAATGATGTTTTGAGGCACATGGGGTCGGTTTTTACAGATAAATTAAAGAAAATACATTTATGATCACTGATCAGTAGATCCTCACAACGGATGTGATCAACATCTAGTCCCAGAGAAAAAACAAGGTCTAAGGTATGACCACCCACGTGAGTGGCGCCAGAAACATGTTGCTTGAATTTAAAAGATTCAGTAATATTAAGAAATTAAGTGGCTACAGAATTTGTGGCATCATTAATGTGCAGGTTAAAATCACCTACTAATAACACCTACTAAAAACATTTAGTTTTCATTAAACTGAAACCACACAGCAACAGGGTTAAAATAACACCTAGCGTAACAACACTGTCTTAGTGACCTGTCAAGTTAGCCACACTCCCTAAAAAAGCTTTATCATTTACGACATATCTACATTTTGTATTGAAGAAACTAGCAATTGAGACCATAATCCTTTTGGAAAAATGTGTGCTGAGGTAATAAATCAAGGAAAAATTAGGGTAATTCTCGTATAAACTTCAATAAAAAATTGTATGCATGTTTATGTTTAAACGTCCCTAAACGACCATTTGAAAGAATGCTCATTTAAAGCCTCTTTGGCTTCCCTTTCAGACCTGGAAAATGCCACTTTGTTGTTGCTTATTGATTATTCCCTGCTACATTGACAATACTTGAGTTAGCTATTTTTTCATGAATGGATTGCTAAATTCAGGAAAGGACTCGATCAACACTTTTTTTCAACACCTGTAAATTATTTAAGCGTGTCAATTATTTAGGATTATGTTACAAACTGTACATGTACTAAAATTACCCATAACCCACCTGCTCCTGCAGGGGTTACTGGATTGTTATTTTTTGTTGATCATTTTTGGCCTTTTGCTATGATCACAAAAATAGGTCAGATAGACTGAAAACAGGCAAAAGGCAGCAGGCGGGATGGGCTGCACGCTGTAGCAGGTGAGTTATCTAGCCTGGATTGATCTTTAGTAGTTTAGTATGTGACTAATGGTTTACAGAAGCCTTTAGTACAATATGTTCCTCTCCTCTTTACCGTGGTTCTTCTTTGTGTTTGGCAGACGTTCGTTCCATGAGTCTGGCAGGAAGGAAGCTGCTGAACCATATCCAACTGCCTCCACATGATAAGTGACTGCAGGAAGGAGATGCTGTCCTCAAATAGCATGATTGCAAAAGTGTTGACCTGAGCCTGAGTAAACAATGAGTGACACTTTCAAATTGTGGGATGCATACATCTTCTTGGGAGTATTAATCAGGTAAACAAACCATTGATGTATCTTCACACAATAAGCAGGGTGCTGAATATATAAGTGGACTTTGAATTTAAATCTAACTAGAAATAATAATTGACTGGTTATTGATGTGTGTGATGGATGGAGTTATTTCTCCATTCCTGTTTTAATTCTGTGAACCTCAGTTTGATATTCAGACTTCAGTTCCATGTACGGGCATCCTGTCAAAGGACAGCATGTCTTACATCATCTATTTACTCTACAGCAGCTTTATAATGACATTTTACCCCGGATTCTAGTAACCCTGTTTCATAACTTATTGCAGACTGTAACTGTAGTCATTAAAAACTATCGTGAAGTGGATATGTGTAGATTTTTAAAAAAGGTAGTTTTTTGATTTCTCTGTATTTCTTTCTGTAGTTTCAAGAGAAGTTAATATAAATGCCAATCACCTATACTGATACCATTTCATCTCACATACAAAACATCTTGACTGTTTTATAAGTTCATTATGTCAGCTTGTTGCAG